CTAAACCACCAAAATGGGGCATAATTTGCAGAGAAATAGCATTATCAAAGGAGTTCACCCAAAATGGGATTTAACCACCTTCAAAAATGTGGATAGGAGAGATATTTCAGTCATATGCTTTCACTCTCCAAAACAGGAGTTAGAAAAAGTTTTAGTGAGCCTTTTTGCTACCTCCACGGAAGTTCACTCTTATTTGACTATAACACGTCAAAATTCAATTCACACATGCTCTGAAGACACCTGCTAAGTATTAGGCATCTCATCTCTGAACAGAATAACCTCTTCAACAGCCCAAACCAAGCAGGGAAATGCTCATGAATCCAACTACACATTACATCATTACAAACTTACTTTGTTGACTCCGTAAAATGAGTATTTCTAACCACTAAATAACCAACAGCAAATACATTATAAGAAGTCAAGGCACACATGCAATTTTGCTTAATCCATGGTGTGCAGCATGTACTTTATTATATTGAAGTGTTTCTAGCCAGAGAAAATCTGGAATATTCAATGATAAACTGGAAAGAAACTGAAACTAAGAGTGTAAGGATTTCTACTGATCATCTGCACATGTATTTGAAACTTGATCCTGCAGCCCTTATTCACAAGATCAGACCTATTGAGTTTATTCACATGAGCTTTGGCTGCAAGATTGGACCTTAAGTACTATCAGGTGCACGTGCAGCCTATCATCAGATTTTGGGTTATTCATTCAAGAAGCTACCCTTTCAAATGCAGACTACTTAATGCTTCCTTCTTCATTAACTTACATGTCCTCTTCTGCTGCTCTATGCTTTCATTTGTGCTATGTAAATAGCCTCTCAGTCATCAAAACAAATACTGATCTTTGCAACCAAGGAGGAAATTAGTAGCAGGTGAACGCTTATTTTTTAAATCATGTTGAGACCATGCTGTTCTTTAACTTAAAGGAGATCTGGGAAAAAAAATCCCATTTTACTACTTTGCCATCTTAATTATGGGTTATCAATGTTGTACTTATCCCATTCACATCCTTCAAATATTGACCTTGATGGTAATGTAGTTTATGATGAGCTGGACCTAGCCTTTAGAACATATTTTAAAGCAGTTTACTTAGTGGTACAAGATTTCTCTGAGGCCATAAAATTAACTGTTATCATACATTAAAATGTACAAGGAATTTCTAATTTAATTGTTCTATTTCTTTGCTTTACATGTCTGTTCTACATAAATACAAAATATTGTACTGCGGTAACTGCAAAAACCCCATCATAATTCTTTTTCTACCGGCTCATAGACTTCTGCAGGTCAGATAGGCTGCAATTACAAGACATGGCACAAACTTGAATAGGATCATAGCAGAGACATTTATGTCATGGTCCACATTATAATCTACATGTTTACAAATCCCATTTGAATTTARTAAGACATTGCTAGAGAAGCAAACTGTCAGTACAGGCAAAAGTCTCTTCATTAGTGATGGCACTCTCAAAAATATTAATGTCAGAGTTCAATGGCCTCTAAGTAATGAACAAATTATAAATGCCTTTAGGCTGTAAGAGACACACAAAGCGACAGACAGTACCTGCCTTCTGATGCTAGGGACACTCTGGATACAYGACTATGGAAGGAGAAAGTAAACATACACTTTTTCACACAAAATCTCATTATCAACACAACCTATGACTGGCAAAATCAAAGGTGAAGCTCCAGCAATAGATATTAGTTGTATTTTCATTATAATTCCAGCTAATTTCAGTGTAATGATGAGGCAGGGGTTGAAGCCGACTGTTGCGAATTCCAGTAGTCATAATATCAACTGAAAGTGCAGTACAAATAATAAGCACACGTACTTATAATGCAAGGAGACATATGTCATGTGACTTTAATCTGGAGTTTAACCTTGAATCTAAATTTCTATAGCTCAAAACTAGAAAAAAATTTTAAATTAAACCTTGAACTGGAACGGTATGTCTGCAACAACTGAACAGTTGTCTCAAAATTGTTCTCAATCATACTTCAAACTTGCCACATGGATTAATTGTCAGTTTGAAGCAGCTGCAACACTATGTTCTATGCACTTCTGTTGCCATTTCAATTTTTAAAAAGCAAATGGAGAGGCTCTACAAAATTCAATGCCACAATAGCAATGACTGAACCAGAATCACAAAATTATGAACGGTTCACTAAATTGTCTATTAATAACACATATCAAAAGGCTGCAGAAAAAACTGTGTGCCTGAAATAACTGATCAGTGAATGAAGAACAAAGAGATGTAAGGAGCAGAGACACTGACAAACCATATTAATTCTTGAAGAATCAATTTCCATACAATCAGAAAAATGGCAGAATATCACAGACAATGTATTCACAACTTTTATCAGCAAAAAAATAATGGATAATCAAATTGAAATTTATCAATGCTCCAGGAAAGAGAGGATGCTGCTGGTAATATAAGACAAGGGAGTACACTCACTTCTTAAAAATCAGTAAAACACAACAAAAGCAGCCCACAACACATGTACGTATGTACAGTAAAAAAAGTCTTGTGCAGGATGTATATATCCTTTAAAAAATAGAAAACCAGCATGCAATGACTGGGCTAACGATGAAAACACTGAACACATGAAACACTTWTGTTCAATGATACAAATCCAGCCACTTCATCATCTCACTGTATGACCAACTATATAATTGAAMCATAAATGCACATTAAAGAACTCCTACAGAGAAAGAACAATGTTTCAAAGCAAAGGCCTAAGGCCAGACTTTACTACATAATTTTAAAATCATTTGAGCCACTGCTTCTTAAGCCATCATAGTTTGCTAAACACATCTTCACCTTACACCACAGAACAGCTAATCAGAGGGTGATACTCCACTCCTGTACCATTCAACGTCTGCATCAGTGCTCCACTAACCTATGGCACAAACCGAGATTTTCTCTATGTGAATAAATGCCAAGATGAGCATCTCCAGTGCTCCCAGATAACTAGGCCGAAAACAGACAATGGAACATTAATAAATTTGTAACTTGTTAGAACAACTATGTAGCACCTTGCACCTAGCAGAAATAGACTGAAGGCTTTTTCCTCTAAAAACACAAAACAGACAGACCAAGTATCTCTGTCAGATACCTGACCTTAAGCCTTCCTTGCCTTTTACCCACCAACATAAACATCATGCATTCTCAAAGATCACCCAAACTTGAACATGGAGAACTATAACTAAGACAAGATACACAACACAGATCACAGATATCAGGTATCTACTCCCAGAACAGACACACTTCCTGGTTGACCAAAAATCACAAGAACTCATTCATACTACTGTGGGTTGAAGCTAWGCTCACACACATTCAGATACACAGAATGTGAAATTTGCTTGTATTTATGAACATGCATAKGAAGGTGTCATGGCACAGGAACCCACATGGAGACATAGTGATCTTCAGAGTCATGTCTTGTCCAACTCACTAATTTGGAAAATCTGAGTATTTGAACAATTTACAACAATCTGAGTATTTGATCAATTTACAATTTATCTGTACACACAGGCCGTAAAACAGAAGAAGAAATGTGTATCAGGACAATGCTGACATAGCAACAGAACAATCAATTTTTTTGAAAAATATACAAAATTAAAAGATGGGAGAAGCAGTTGCAGTAGCCCCACCCACTGTCTATGCCACAGCTCTTACAGGAATAAGGAGAAAGCACAAAGCAAGCTTCCTCAATCCCTACTACAGTTCTGGAAGGACAAAYAGCTGTGCAGCTCCAGAACATTCAGCAGAGAGCCCAGGCTGACATACAAATCAAACAAGGAGGTTTAACAAGCAAACACAGAGGACCCCGAGAGAGCTGGAGCAGCTCTCCTATGACAACAGGCTGAGAGAGTTTGGGACTGTTCAGCCTGGAGAAGGGAAGGCTCCTGAGAGACAATTTAGCACTCTCCAGTGAAAGAGCTACAAGAGACCTGGAGAGGGACTTCTGACAAGAACATGGAGGGATATGACAAAGGGCAATTGCTTCAAACCTAGAGTAAGGAATAAATTCTTGACTGTGAAGATGGTGAGGCACTGCATGAGTTTGCACAGAGAAGCTGGGGATGCCTCATATCTGTAAGCCTTCAAGGTCAGGGCTTCAAGTAACCTCATGTAGTAGAGGRGGTCCCTGTCCCTGGCAAGGGGGTTGGAACTAGGTGACCTTTAAGGTCCCTTCCAACCCAAACCCTAGGGGTTCTAGGATATCCTATATTCTAGGATACTATGGACAAGGCACTTGGCACTATGCACAAACAAGCTCTGCTTTCCTGCAGATGGCTATACATCTGCTTGCTGATGTAAAGAAGTGAATTGATTTCTTCTTTTGCTTGCGTGCACAGCTTGTGCACACAGCTTTTACTTTATCTACTAAACTGTAACTCAGTTTGTAAATTTTTTCACTTTTACCCTTCTGAATCTTTTCCCTATCCCACAGTAAGGAGTGAGCAAGTAGTTGTGGGGGTCTGAATTGCCTAGGAAACACCAGCAAAATCCAAATATATATACCAACAAATATTTAATCAATTCATCATCAGATTTCTACTTTATCTAATGGCTCCTGGTATTTCCCTGTAATATGAGAAAATCAACCAGTGCATTTATCCTCAGCTAAAAAGTAAAATGACATAGCTTTGTAATCCATGAGGTGACTAAGTTTAAAGAATGTACAGCACTACAGTGCTGTACAGTGCTACAGTGCACTGTATAATATTCAGACTTATGCAGGTAGATGACATTTTATTTTGAAGATATACAGAAGTCAAATAGTAGTCTAAATCACACCCTAAGCTATATAGAAAACAACAGAAATTACCGTTAGAGCATTAACATACAATAAATCCTGAAATACCTTCTATTAAATGACTGAAGCCTCACTAAAAGGCTATTAACATGCGCAAAAGTATCACTTTGACAGGGAAAAGAACAAAACCCATAGCACATCAACACATACATACATACACACAAATTACGTACCTCTCCAAGAGCTTCATAGCGCTTTTGGTTCCATCTATGCAAATCTTCACGATAATTAAAAACAAATGGCTCCCCAGTTTTAACGTGTCTTAATTGTCCTTCTGTAGAAGAAACAAAACCATTACAGTTAATAATACTTCTTTATTAAAAGATACATTTAATTGCTGAAAATTTTAAAAGAAGTTTACATCTAAAAATTGAGCTATTGTGTATTCCTCCTCGGTTTTGATTATAGGTTTTTCACCAGAAAACAACTGTAGCGTAACAAAATGCATTCTCCTTTTACGGCATATACCACTAGATAAAGCAAAAGAGAAATTATGACATTGAAATTGAATGCAGATATCAAATGCCAACTACTTGACAGGACATATTTATGTCTCAACTGCTATGAATTAACAGTCTACTGTTAACATTAGGAGTAAATATTTGATCTGCAGGTGATGGAATTGTAGTTACAAATCCTCCACTTCAAAATCAATTGCATAATGAAGAAATGCAAATAAAAAAGGGTCTGGAAGCTGGAAGTAAGGGAAAAATTTATCTTCAAATCTAACAACTTTCTAATCTAATCTGAAAAAAAACATGTCCCCACTTAGGGTARTATCTTAACTCCAAGGCATAATGAAATCAGGCAAGAACTCAATTTATGGTACACTGAGGATACAACAGCAGAATAAAGCAGAATGCTTGATCAGAGCAAAATCCCATGCTACTCCCGCATTCCATGATAATTTCCTATAGTTGGCCTTGTTTATAGCCAAAGTTAACAACATACTCAAACACTGGTGAAGACATGGACTGTGTTAAAATGATAACAATAAAATGGCAAAAAGTAGGAAACAAACTACAGAAAACAAGTATCTTACCAACAATSTTTCAGCCTATCAGCCAAAACACAGGTTACAATCTCAGAGCATCACAAAATTGCAGTATATCAGTGAAACATTAAAAGCAGGGGTATGTGAAAGTAAACCCCTTCGAATGCTGAAATGTCTGCATGATGAAACTAAGGTTTCTCAGCAATGTTTCCTCTTGAATAGAAGAAAATTTTTTGGTTCATGTGTTTTCAGAACCTTTACATTTTGATTCCTAATTCCTTAAATAAAATATTAAGATCTGATATCTATAATGGTTACGCTTATCTGCTGATTTAATTTCTTTTCAGACCTGCCCTATCTCATGTACTAGACACCAAGGAAGTATTTCTCCACAGTTTCCTATCCCTGTGTTGGATTCAAACATCCTCCTTCTCATATTTTTCATCGTAACTTTACTTTCACCTGTTCCTTCTCAGATATTCACTCGCTCTTCAAATTTGCCATGCAACAAACTGGCTCACTTCTCAAGTAAAAAACAACTGATGTATTTTTCCTTTGGCTTTCTGGAACCACTGCCTTTTTCAGATTTAAATAATCTGACAAAAAACTTTTGTACTTTTCCACCATAAAAAGAAGCATGATTATGACATAAAAGTACATGACTGAACATTTGAATTAAATGTACAAAAGCAAAATGGTGACTTTTTTGCTTTGCTGACCTGTAGCATATATAATAGGTTTTCCTCCATTCTATGGAAATCACTCAGGTTAGTAATGGCATATTCAGTAACATAATTCATTCCCCAAAATACAAATTTCAGCTCTTTATATCAACCACATATGAACCATTAACTCTGAAGTCAGTAAGGAAGACAGTAGACACTGTGCAGATCTAAAAATAAGGAGCTGAAAAGTGACAGAGCTGAACTCCTTCCATCAAAGAAAGAGCATCACTTTCATGACACTTTTAGTCTCTAAGTACCTTCCTGTGAAAGCCATCAGGGTATTAAAAAGCTAAGTGTTGCATAAATGACTATCATTTAAAGGAAAGCTCTTCATTTTTTTTCTTTAAAAGTGGAAGATGTAAAACAGGCAGATTTAAAAACTAAAGTTCCTCTGTTCAYGAACAGGCACTGCGAAGAAGTAGAATTGTAAACATTCTCATTTGTCCTACAGGTTTTAAACAATCTTGAAAGAGTCACTTCCTGCACTCTGGTACTACTTTAGCTCATAGGCTCATTTCTCACCAGGATTTTAAAATGTATGCACTAGGAATTGTAAGTACTAAGTCACTTGACACAAAGACTGAGCTAGCGGGAAGTACCTGTAGTCATCACACACTTGGTTGCAATGCAATATCATGTCCCACACAAGAAGAGACAGTCTATCACATTCCTCATCTTTCCATCAGCCAAATAGCTGTTTTTTCAACTGGTATTAATGGAATACTTGGGACAAATTATTATCTGAAAAACAACTTCTTCCATAGCCATAAAAATGAATCAGTAAATAGACCATTTCTTGATTGAGTGACCAATCTTTAAATGCTACAGAAATTACTTTCAGAATTTTTTTATCAACACCTCTGTAACAGAAAACAGAAGGTCATAAAATAGGCACATATAGCTCTACAACATTGCATGAAATGAAGGATTTTTGTGCTGATTTTATTAAATAAAAATCAGTTCTTAGATTTACAAGTCTATCAGCCCTGATGTTGGAAATTTTATTCTTAACAGAAAGGTTATTATTCTAAAATTCTATTGTTCTGAAATTCTAATAGGGACTTATAAGGTATAATTCAACTTCTGTTAACCTCTCAACATTATTCTAAGTATAGTCTTTACAAAGCATGTATGACTTACTTTCATTAAAAATGTACTCAAATCCTTCCAAAGTATCAGGAAATTCAAGTGGTGGCTCATCTTTTTTCATTAGTTCATCCAAGTCTATTCTAGACAATAAATCTAAAAAAGGAAAAGAAAAAAATACATAATGCATGCTATGTCTTTTATTTCCCTTGTAACATTGACAAAATGTGTTTGTTAAGATTTGTAGATCTCATGGGCAGAAGAATATCTCATTACTAAACACAGGACATTGTTATAGAATCCCTTTTCAAGATTCATAAGGTGGACTTTATTTATTTATTTATTTATCTATTTATGTTGATCAAAAATGTCAAGAGACAGAGATGTCACCAAAGACACAGTGATTTGTTTCAATGATTCATTACCTCAATGTTAGAAAATAAGTCTCTGTATGCATCATGGTTTTAACATAGTTATCTAGCTTCAGTATCAAATCCTTGATGGACTCTTGGTTGCCTTTTTGAGGAGTTCAGATTATCTGATGCACATCATCTCACATGTTCTCAGCCCCTCCTCTGATACCAAACAGACTGTTAGACCTGAATCCTTSTCTCAGCCACCTCCTTTAATAGCTCTCAAGGTAAAGAAAACTCCTATCAATTTTATAGCAAGCCATGGAATACACATCCTTTTCAGATCAAGACTTTATGGTCTGGTACAGCCTACACTCACTAATAGAAGTACACTAAAATAAGCATCATCTACATTCTTTACCCTAGATTTAAGGATTTACATTTAACCAGAAGCAAATGATAGGGACATCATAACACCTACGCATAGCTAACAAAACAATTGCTGCATACATAGATAATAGTGTACAATGACTTCTCCTTATTGCATTTCACCCACACAATGCAGTGCTACACTTCTAAAAGATTTTCTGATTATTAATTAAAAAAATAAATCAATAAACAATTCAGCAGGATTTCACCAAAGTGTATTTTCCTACTTCTTCATAGATGAAATTGAAGACCACACAAACATTCTGTTCAGGAGTGCTAAACTGACTTTGAACTATTATTCATAAATCAAGATACCATGTATTACCAAGGAAATACACTAAGTGTTCTAAGTATATTGATTTTTACCTTTATTATTATTCAAAGTTGTAGCTCAAAGAAAAGAAAACAGATTGAAAAGATTAATTTTCTTTAACTTTGRTTTGGCATTTACTATGTTTTCCATCTCTGTATTACTTAAAACAATTGTTTTTGCATTTTGTACCACTATTTTTGCTTGGTCATATTGCCAGTAGGCTACCCATATTACCTAAGCTTAGGATTGACACATTTAAGCCTTTGAAATTTCTACTGTTCAAGATGTTTAAAATGTACTGAAAATCATCTTCAACATTCTTGAGAGTTCGTTGACCTGCTGTTCTACAACTCTTCGAGTTCACTTGACATTTATTCCAACATGCATGACTGTTACCAGATCTTCCTTCTGAGTGATTCCACTGGGTAAAGCTGGAGGACCAAAAGCCATCTGGTATGGTTGCTGAAATTCAACATCTTTTCAACAAATTATTATGATGTCTGAGCATCTCTGTGGTACCTCAATGTGTACAGAACACCAGACATTGGCTGGATGATTTTAAATTTGGCTTTCTCAGTCACAGCTCACTTTTACATCATATCTGTTTAATAGCAGATTAACAATAATGTAAAATGTTCTATGAAATTCAGCTCATGTAAGAAATCATGTGTTTGTTCTTGTGCACTGTCCTTTGAAAGTTCTGAGGGAGCTCCTTTGGTTCTCAACCAAAGGATAGGGTAAAGGAAGAGAATTCTGTAAAATAAGTCTTCCATAATAGGATGTACAAAGCATGCCCTTTTTCCTCTGTACTTTCACAAAATCAAGGTAGCAAGGAGTCTTTAACACATCTTTCTCTCTTTGGTGAAGACACTCCAATCACACCACACTCCTAGAATGCAATTTCACTGGAGTTACCATATCTTCTTACTGTCATCCAGTTGGAGATGCAGAAACTTTGATAAAAGCACTATAAAGGTTTTCACCAGACACTTCACAAAAACTCAGTTGCAACTGAAGAAGCACCAACTATCATCATATGGAACAGAACACCATTTTCTAATAATGCTTTGATAGAAATCCAGGATGTACACTGGAGTGGCAATCTACATTATTTTTTCTCATTTGAAAGACAATTTAGAATGCAACTGGCTGATAAACACTTTAAATCAATATTTGGTTAGCTTACTTGCAGGTCTAACCAACACCATGTACAGCCAAAACTGAAAGCCACTATCTAAAATAGGTTATTTACGTAATTTATTTTTTCCCCTAAGTCATTTAGGTCTGTTTATTTTTTAAAACATACAACACAAGGGATATGAATTTTATATGGAAATCAATGTCCTGGTTGCCTTTTCCCTTTTAGCATTCTAGTCCAAGAGATTTTAAAAATCTCTGTAATAAGGTCRTGTAAATATAAAACAAAAGCATCACACAAATTAAACAAAAACTCCCAAAAAATGGGAACAAAAGTACCAGTCAACTTCCTCAGGGGACAATTAAGAAAATTTTTAAAAGCAGTGAATAGTTCATTCTGTTACTCCCTACCACATACCATCTTATGAAAATACTGATAAAATGGACACATGTTACCCAATAAACACTAGCATAGATGGACTAAGAGCATGTTCTAGTATTGTAATTCCCAAGCTCTCACTCACAGCATTATCACGTTGTTTTCCTTTCCTTAACAATCATTTCTGAAATGTCAATGTATGTAAAAAAGGCAAAAACATCATACCCTTTAACGCAGTGGTCTTCTCTTTTTCATCTGGGCCTCCTTGCTGGAGCTGAGCCATCATTTACCCAAACTATCAACAGATTGTGAAATACTGAAGTAAACGTAGATAAATATTTGAAGGACAATCTGAAAAAGAGCAAGAATTGGAAATTAATAGGTTTACTGACTTCTCCTGCAACAGCTCTCATCTGCTACTCTACACCAATAAAATCCCAAACCACAAAACCCAACAAGCCGAATATTATAAACTCAAAGTTTGACCAAGTTTGGTTAAAGATTCAAGTTTACAATATTGAATAATAACCTCTCCCTAATCCCAAAAGGACTTCTACCCAATCAAAACTACTTTTGTGATTCTAATGCAGCAACAGTAAACAATAAGCCTTTTAGAGAAGTGCAACACCTGCAAGTCCAAAATAGAAGACACAAGAAAAAAAACCAAACTATAATTAACAGAATTTACACACTCTTATGGATCTTCTTCATCAGTTAACTCCACTCTGTTGTCCTTACTAYACTGTATAGTTTCGTTTTAGCGAAATTGCATGAAACACACAATTTTAAACCACTGTAATTTCCACAATACATTATCAGTATTGAAATGTAGAGTAAATGTCCAGCTACAAAACAAATCTCAGTGTATTCAAGATGAGACTTTACATACAAAATCTATTTCCAAATTTCTCCTAGTGTGTAGAAGGCAACACGGACATTCAAATCCACAATCTTTCACCTTGAATCTGACACCAAAGGAGTGAACTTCCAAATCACAATCACTTCCTCCTTCTCTATAAAATACTTCTGTGCACTGAATACTTTTTCTCTTAATCTTTTTTTGATTCTTCGTTTTATCTGTCAGTCATAACCAACTTGTTTTATTTGTCTCATATGCTTTATCATAGATGCACTTGCATCAACTGTCTCTATTGCAATTTACCAAACAGTAAGAGGATTCAACAACTCTATTATACTGGCTCACTAATGCTTAGACCTATAGAAAGAACCACAAAACAGTTTCTTTTAAGTAACAGCAGTTTATTGTATAGACAGGAGAAAAACAAATAAATGTAGCATAAATACTGATTTTCTATTCTTTATAGAGAAAACCTATTAAACACTTTCTTGTAGATTAAGGAGTAATATAGCAATTTAACGGCTGTTAGTTATTAACTAAGAAGAGGGTTTGAGGGATTGTTGTGACTTGGTTTTTTAAACTTGTGAGTCTAGAAAGTCCAATAATCCATTTTACAAGCTGGTGCTATGGCAGACTTTGACATCTTCCTTCGTAATGGCTGTTCCAACAAAGCTAATGTGAAATGGTATCAGTCTTCTAAAGACACAACTCCACAAGGAAAGCTGTTTATACGGTGAACTTTATAAACCATGACATTAATTCAGTTAATATGTGCATCTTTTGGATAACACTTTGGTCACATCATCACTCACAACAAAAGCAATTACAAAAAACCCAGCAAAATCACTGGGACTTTTTTGTGCATCTGGCATACAGCACTGTCAGTGTAAATATCAAAGTGACTCAAATGTTGATTCACACATACGGGTGGTTTTGAATACTTTCCTCAGGTGTTTCCAAGCAGTCCACTGACTAAAGACTATCAAATACAAAATTCTGTCCATCTTATTTGTACATCTGCAGCACAAACCCACACATATTCTAGCAAATCATACAGAACAGAAACTAATTTCAATTAAAATTACTTGAAGTGCTAAAAAAATGACAGTGGTCGTGTTATGTGGTAGCCCAGATTAAAATTATTCTAATCATATGAAATTGAGTGGTTCTCCCAACACAGCTTGAAAATTCGTAATTTGGTATAGGTAAGCTAATGCAGTTAACAAAATACCTACGGGTACTCAAAGATTTGTTGTTAGCTAACGGAAGAAACATAAAATATATCTGAACAGATTCACCTTGGAAAAGGAGACCCTCATGCCCTGATCAGATGAATCAATGCAGGGACAAGGAATCCTCGCTATTCTAGTCTCCAGCATGAATACTCCCACTTCTTCCTTCAACAGATGAAGACCACTWCACTGAGCATATGACAGTTCAATTGCAAAGCTAAAACTACCAAAATAAATGAATGTGAATTTAGCTTTGAGAGAGAGAATTTACAGTTSTTTTTGAGGAAGTAAAAGACTTTTWTATCAGCCACTGGAGGGAGGACTTGATATCACAATGAGGATCGAACAAGCACACAGAACATCATGCATTGTTTCTGTGAATACAGGATTTTTTTGAATCCCTCACCAATACTTGTTTAATTGACAAACAGAAGAAATTAGGTGAGAGGATTGGATTTCTGATTTTTGACAGACAGATGCCAAATCCACTACTGATAGTACAAAAATGAACAATAGCAAGTGGTGGATCTTTCTGATCAGGTTGCATATAGGCAAAGCAGGAACTGCAGCTTACTCTACGAATTAATTTCAAACCCCAGTGATCAATTGCATATATTGACCATTCCACATAATTTCTGAATGCTATCTAGCGTCTTGTAACACATACTGACTTTAAATATGTTATTCTGTATAATTACTTAGATAAGTCTTTTGAAAACATCTCAGTGATTTTTCTGTTTTAGCTACATATGGCAAGAATACTTCCTAAAGCAAAAGTCACTATGTCACCTGAAGAAACAGTTAAAGCAAATAAGTTTATGTATATTCAGTTTTATGTATCTAGCTTATGCATGCAAACTTAAGAATTCTCACACAAAGTATCTTATACATATTCTGAGCCTCTTTAACTCCATCCCAAGCAGCACTTAGAATTTGACACAGAAGTACTCTGGTTTCATGRTTTCACATGAGACAACAATGTTGCATTTTCATTATATGCCTGCCTATATAATTGACCATCCACAGAACTAGTGGATGGTCAATAAATTCGTTTAAAAATAAAGCATACGTAAGAGAATATACACATATTTCACATTGTTGCCGACAAAGCTCTAGTGGAAGTTTGGACTATAGAACTTCTGATGGCATAACAGCCCTATTTTTCAAATGGAACTAGACACTCTATCATATCCATGCATATGGTACACACACACAGATTTCAACATACTTAATATAGTCTTCATTGCGCAAATGCAGACAGAAGTGACAAAAAATGCAGTATATAATTTTGCACTGAATTATCAACACCTGAAGCGAAGTCACAATTATAAATATTCCAAATAAAGGCTATAAATTACTGTAGTGTTAACAACACTGCAAGTGCAACATAAGAAGAAAACACACAAGTATTCTCAAATAGCACAAGCCCTTCAAACTTATCTGGACACGATATAGTCTTGCTCTTTGTAAACTGACATCGCAAGCAAGCTAGGATTGGTTAGAGCTATGCAGTGTGGCTGATGACTGATTAAGACACAATTTTTCTTCARAGAGATGGCTGGGTGACAATTTGCCTCTAGTCCCTTGTCACTACTAGCTTAACAAAGCAAAAAAACCAGTAATTTAATGTTAGCAGTATTTTCTGTCTAATTAGATTTTCTCTTTCCCCTCTTTTAGGGCACTGCAGATGGCATCAGTAACAACTGTGTCAATTAAGGCTGTACTTCACTTTGCCTCACTTAAAACACCATATTTTTAAGCGCTTTTTGGTCTGCCCAACTTCAGCTCTGAAAGGTAATTATTTCCAGTCTGCTTTAGACTAAATGGTTTTGAAAATATCTATCTATAGTATAAGGCAGTTCAGAGACAGCATGTTGTGCTCAGTTCTGATGATGTTAATGAACAGCTGTAGCATCTCCATCTTAGAGATCAGAAATTTAGGATCAGAGGATCAGGTTAGTAGTGTGTGCCTCTTGCCATTACCCTTAGAGCCTGCCCAGATCTGTRGAAGTTAAAATTAGTTTTCTCACAAATTTTATATAGACTTACTAAGACTTATCAGAATTTCCAGAAAATTTAGCTGCCTAGAACATGCTCATACAGCTGCAAAAGGCAGAGGAAATATGCACAGGGATTAATAAATGCTAGAAGAGCAGGATCTGTAAYCACTTAGAATACAAAGAAACTGGCAATGATCCTGAAGTCCCTGAATCTCACTAGATCTTTGTACTCTACCAAATGGTGGTAGAACTTGCTGAAAAAGTACGTAACTGCAGTCTACACCAAAGGCTGATACATTTCACAGCAATCACCCTCCAGTGTTATCTACCCATAAGTGCAAACAGCACATGACCAGGAGCCACATGTATTAGCAATACGTGTCAGCAACTCAGTTATTTACACAAAGCAAAGTCAACACAATTCCACACATTGAAACTTCTAGTGTTTCAGTTTAACTTTCTTGAAATGCTGGAAATGACTTTCATAAACATAAGCATATTAACATGACCAAATTAACAYATCAAAGCAACAAAAAAAGAGGCAGCTCAACCTCAACATAGCCTCAGTGTGGTTTACAATATGATGGTATATCAACCAAACACAAGGTTCAAAATCATCTTCTGTAGTAGCAACAGCTTTTAATACTTGAACTGGTTTTCTCTGGCATAGAGTCAGTTTTCATTGTAGTAGCTTGTATGGGGCTAGGGTTTGGATTTGTACTGAAAACAGCATCAATAACACTGCTGAGCAGTGTTCACACAGCATCATGGCCTTTCCGGTTTTCATGTGCTGCCCTGCTCGCAGGCAGCCTGGGGGAGCATAACAAGCTAGGAGAGGACACAGCCAGGACAGCTGAACCCAACTAAACACATGGTGACACACTCAGCAACAAAATGTTGGAAAAGAGACAGAAAATGCATGGAATGACAGCGTCTGTCTTCTCAAATTGCAATGACACTTGATGAAGCTGTGTTTCATGGAGATGGCAGAGTATCTGCAATTCCTRATTTTGCTTTGCATGTGTGCACAGCTTTTGCTTTTCCTATAAAACTGTCCTTTTCCCAACCCACGAGTTTTCTCACTTTTACCCTTCTAGTTCTTTCCCCCGTCCACTGTGTGGAGACTGTGGGAGTGGCTGGAGCAAGGACTTCGCTATCTACTGCGGCTAATCCACATAACACAATACAATACTTTGTTAAATATGCAGAATATCAATAATTAGGTGTACAGGACCCAACTTCTGTTAAGATAGATGGATA